TCAGGGATGATACGAAAGGAGGTTTGGCTGATGTGAAGGCAGGTAATTAATTTGGTGGACCTGCACCAGTTTTTCTGGTTGATCAGAAAGAAGACTGAAACTAAAAAGTTATACATAAATTACCACGGAGTATTATGTTCTGATTGGAAAGATATAACAACTAGACTGTAAACTCTACTTTGAAAAGTATGTAAAAAAAATATATTTCTCAGAATTCATTTTCTGGAGGCTAATTATTTCTGGTTTGCTACCCCATGGAGAGCATAGTCAACAAGCATATCTCATTCTCAAATAGTCAAAAACATGAAATACATCAGGTCTCTTCAGATTTTACAGCATTCCAGAATAAAATCAATTAAGGCCTGTAGTAGAAAAAATTGTGTACTCAATTAGCACTGCTCCAAAATAAGACATTAATGAAACTCTGTTAAATGTCCATCAGATTTTTAGTTAGCATGCTTACAATTTTGAAAATATCAAATCAGTCTAAAAATACCAAACCAATTCCATTCTTTTGGTCTCAGTGTCTTCTACAGAACAAGCTGAGGTTAATTGCTCTCTCTCTCTCTCTTCCCTTTATCTGAACTTTTGCAGCTCTGTACAAAATTCCCAATTAGAATACATGGTCTGTTTTCTACACTTCAATGGGCATCTGCACTAAATTTAACCAAAGGCTTTAAAGAAAAGAAGTAACTTATTTGAGATGACAAAAAAGAGCAATTTCACCAGAGATTGTTTTCTTAACGTTACCTGGAAATGAAAAAGGAATGTCAATAGAAAATTGTGACCTCTGCCTTCACTAACTTGCTCAACTATGCCCAAAAACACCTGGGACGAGGGCAAGGGTGGATTATCCCTTCAAGCACCAAGTAAATCTACATCTCAGGATTGGATTTTATCATCTGAAAAAGACATGAAAGTGGATGGGTTTGTCTCTAATTCATCTCAACCCTCAAAAAATAACCAACCATTATTTCAAGTCATCTAAGAAACCATGCAGTACACAGTGCAGCATTTCTGCACCTCATAAACTGGGATACAACTCTCAAAGCTACTTTTGCAAGTCAAAAAGCTGGAGATAAATGAACTCTTCAGGGTCTGCATTTGTGAAAAACAGTGCCCCAGACACCTTCCGAGCTTTAGGGAATAACTATAGCCTCAGATAACTTGGATAACTGTGAGAACTACTGAGAATTCTCTCTGAATTGAAATGACTTTAAACCCACAATACAATATGTTTTCCTTTGGTTCATCAAAGCAGGAGAAAGAAAGGAGCTCACCATTTCCAGGCTACACAGCCAGCTAATTGTTGTCTCCTTTGTAAAGCAGAATGCTCCTTATTTTTTCTGATCACAGTGAGAGAACTAAGGACTTTTCCACGTATTTTCTTGATGTTGATAAGGCTGATAAAGTGTTAATAAAACAGTCAAGTGAAATGCAGTTGTTGCAATGCCTCACTGAAAATGGCCCTGAAAGGATGTGAACTCTCACATCAGAACCAGATGAGAGCTGTACCTCTCTGTGATCCCACCCAAACTGTGCTGACACAGTGACACAGGGTGACACCTGCACTGAAGAAGTTTCTGCCCATTCAACAGAAAAGCTCTGGCCATATGAAATCCCAAGTATTGTCTGGAAGACTGAAGGCACATTACAATATTGATGATAAATGTTTACGTTATCATATTCATGGACAAAGACTGCAAATAAAATTTGAAGTGCTTTTTAAATTATTTATTATTTTATTTATTTTTTATTTAATTATTTGAAGTGCTTTCTTTAATCTACCTCTAATACTTGCTGAGGTACAAAAGTAGAGCCATAGAAGCTGGTGCAGATAGGACTGAGATAAGAGCCAAGTGAGTGCAGACCCAAAATTCCAAAGGGAAATACTGTGGAATTAAATGTGGATACTGCCTGTAATATAACATCTTTCATATATGTTGACAGCTATAGTGTTGTCAGATGTTTAATTAAATTAGATTAATTAAAATAATTATTTGTAACATTGAGAAATATATAAATCTGCAACATCCAGACATTTAAATCTCAGTACTAGAAAGATGGCAAGCAGGAAGATTTTGTGCTGTATGGGACCTGATTTATTTCAGAGACAGTTTGTACAGGTGACTATTCCAGTTTCCAAAAAGAAAAAGCAGAGGTGAAATCCTACTTCTACAGATGGCCATCACAATGTGTCCTGCCTAATCTGCACTTCAAAGGAGAGGTAGGTGTCCTTTATTTTGAAACTCTCCCTCTCACTGTACTAAATTTAAATAATACATAAAATGTTTAGCTCTGAGGAGCAGCAGGAATTTAGCAGCAGAACCTGTCATGAGTGGCAGAGGGATGCAGGCTCAAGGACTGTGGGACTCTGCTGGCTCAGAAGTTATTGAGACCTACATGGATCCCTGTGAGGTTACAAGCTTGGCTCATTTTAGCTGCCAAACTGGCAGCCTGACAAAATCCTGCATTTCCCAGGCCCGCAGTCCTCCAACAGCCAGTGGAGAAATTCTTGCCCAGGGAATTTCTGCAGTTTGGGTTCCAACCAATCACTCTCACTGTGAAACACCAGAATCCTTTGAAACACAGAAGCTGTTTTCCTACGTACTGTTACAGCTCTAAATCTTTCCTTGCATTTCACTTCATTCCCGTCTCTGAGATTAGAAAATATTGTATTTCGGAAAGATTTTTTACAAAATAACGCTGTGGCTACAAAGTGAAGCTGAACAAAGCTGCACCTGCTAAAGAGACACACCTGCACTACAAAGGGATTTGGCTTGGGGATCCAGTCAAACCAGGACAACTCTATCATTTCACCCTCTGGTCAGCAGAAGGCAAGCTGCCCAAACCAGAGAAGTTTTTTCAAAAAGAGCAGGAAAAGAAGCAGATGGCCTTGGATGAGGATATCATACTTCAAGAAAATGAAAGTTATTAAAAATGAAAACCATAAAGTTAAATCTGAGGAAATAAAATACTTTAACTTTGCACAGATGTAATTTAAAGGCTCCATAAAAGATCTGAAAAAAAACTTGGAGGAGATAGAAAAATAGGCTCTAACTCAGTGACCAGAAACATTTCCTACCTACTTTCAGAACACTCAGCTCATAGCACATAAAATATTGAACTAGAAGAGAACTATCGATGTAGATGTAATGGATTTGTAAGCAAACTTGCTTTTTGTGTACATTTTAACAGTAATTTAAAGTCTCATATGTTTGGAATTGCTGAGCCTAATTTTTAGCCCTGAGGAAATTTTTATAGCTAAACAGCAAACTCTAATGATAAGGGTTTCTAATGGTCAGACTTAACTACTCCTCTGCTGCCAGGTACTGCAAATGGCACAGTTTACCTTTGCCAGAGCTGGTTCCACAAAAAGGGCCATTCACTTTTTTGCATAAACTCTGCAACTTGAAATTAGACATTATTTGGAGACATTTAAACCTCATCTGTTTTAATGGAGAGCGTGTGTTCATTTTTTTTCAAACTACCTTTGAAAGGATCCTGAGCAAGTAATTAAAACTATTAGTTGACATTTCGGTTCTCAACAGCTCTATCTAGCCTAAAAGTGTTCTCTTTAGAAATGGCAAACATATTCAAAACAAATAATTGGGAGTTATTAAGAAAATCAAAACCCTGAGTGCTTTTCAATTCATTTACATCAAACTAATTTCTCTTGACCTCTAAATTTAAAACAACACTTTTTTTTTTTTTTGCAGTTGATATAAAATGAAGAATAAAAGTTCCTGTTCTTTTAACCTAATGAAGGCAGAAGTCCAAACACAATTTCCTGTGCCCAACAGACTCCAGCATTCACATTTTCTGATGACCAACTGAGAAGGAAATTGGTATTATTCCATCGTGTCATTCATTCAAGGAAAGGAGTTGTTCAGAAACGTCTCTATGAAAATGTTATTAAAAACTTGTTGTTATTCCACATACAGCTGTGTTCTTTTAATTTGGGACAGGTCAAGAGGATTGGCAGTAAATCAGGGAGAATCCAGCAGCAGGGTTCCGTTGTCTGCAGGGATAAAAATAAACTAAAAAAAAAAAAAGCCAACACACATGTTGCAGGATCCAAGGTTTCCATGGACAGTGAATCAAGGCTTTTCCTCATCTCTAACTTACCTACCATCTCAGATCAGGGACAGAACAGGAAATAAATTTAAGATTTCCTAATTTTCAATTGTTTCACACACACATAGAGCATTCAAAGTGTTGCCAGCTGATTATGAAGCTTTTCCCTAAACACCCATAAATTGATGAAAAGCACCACAGCACTCAAAAGAATCAGTTGGCATAAATTGGAACAGAAGCCTTGGACTTGCATTTTTAATACCTTTTAATCCAATCCAATACATTGAACACACAGAAAATATTCGTGCCTCAAATTTTCCCAATAACTGCCATTGACTCATTGCACTGCTATGGTTTCTAATCAGCAGAAGATACCCAGCTTTAACAACAGTATGACAGAGTACAGCACTACACCTCCTTAACTCTTGAAAAGGAAGGAAAAATAACAAACCTAATGTTCCTATAAATTGTAAAAGGACTGAAATTATTACATATTTTTAATTAAATGGTTAAGATGATAGAGAGCTTAAATCCAGTATTAACTAAAAAAATGGAATTATTTCAGTGAATTAAGTGTGATCATTGCAGAATTAATTGTATTTGCATAGTAATGTTTAAGTACTAGAAACTGCAAAAGGAAAAATTCTGAATATCAATTATGTTAATTATGTTGCAGACTATTGGGAGAAAGGAAAAGATAGGTCTTCCCTTTATTTTCTTTAGTATGTGCTTTTCTGTGCACAGTGGAAAGATGAGAGCTCCAGTTGCTATAACAACTTAACTCTATTATAATCAACAATCATCTAAGTTTAATTGCCATCCTGTCCTTCTAAACCAATATATTCAACAGCAGTTGTATGAATTTCATAAATTTTGCTACTAAAACCTGTTCAACATCTGAAAACAAGCTGAAGAATACTTACCCACCAGAGGCAAACTGAAGTTGTCCTTTCGTTCCTTACTGTAGCAATATACCTTTAAAATTCTCTACTGTATCCATGAGAATGTTTGTCTTGGGACAGTTATCTTCTTACTAAATCTAAAACTAAATAAAAACCGGAACTGAAACTCAATGTATGAAAGCAAATAAATTAAAATAGCAATTGTAAACTTAAAATATACTAAATATTGCAATATTTTTTCTGATACTATAAGCGTCGCTACCTTCTTCAAAAGTAACTCCAGTTAGGCTACCAACAAGAGTTAAGTTAGACATAAAATATAAAGTAATCAGAAGAAGAGCACTCAATGAACTTCAAAATCTAGTGTTGCAGACTAACTACAAAGATTATTACAAACTATACAATGAACTATAATAATTTCTATTGTTGGCCTCCCTAATGTTTCCTTTCATTATTCAACAAAATGACATTTGAAAAATGGGAAATTTGTCAGCATTCTTCAAATATTCTCTAATTCAGGCCCTGTGGGCTCAGAATAAAATTAACCCTTATCATTTACCCATAATTATGGTGTTTATCTGTAATAACATGCCTTGTAAGTAACACTGGAAACAATCAGAGCAGAAGAAAAAAGTGGAATCACCATGAAATGGTGAAACAGAAGCTAAAAGAGGTCTTTTGCATAAGGTACAAAAGATAAACAAGTGATGCAGTATTAACTGAGATTGTTTCTTTCTGAACAAAAAGAATGGGGGCTCCAAAAGTACTTAAACTTATGTACTTTTGCAACCACTGGTTCCTGCCTCATGCCCCACATGTCTCTTATGTTCCAGTAACTTGCAAATAATGCAACAACAGCTCATAGGAGCACTGAGAACAGCAGGTGCTCGGCTCACTTTCATTCATAGCACAAGGCAGAGATCCCAGAAAACTCTTTAAATGCAATAGTGGGAGCTAAACCCACAAACGAGCAAGACAAAGCTTAAAACTGGATGATATAAACCTTTCAGCCACAGCCAAATCTTTTGGCCAAGTATTAACTTGTTAACTACGCCTCTATCAGTGTTTGACAGTAAAGATACAGCTGATGCACAAGAAAAATCAGAAAGGTGGAATTAGCCTGAAAACATGGTTGAAATTGCAGCTGAGCCCTCAAGCAGAAATGTGAAAGTACTGGAACCATCTTGGTTATACACTAGTCATTACTATCCTGGTGGAATGATAATCTTTCTTATCAGTTAACCATTATGAAAAGAACTATTTCAACAACACTGAAAATAAATCACATTCATTAAACCTAAAACAATAACTATTAAACCCACTGAGTCAAGTTGTTTCCTTTTTGAATATACTTGTTTTAAGATTTAACACACTAATTCATTTTAAGTTACTTGTACATCTTTTATTTACTGATTAATGAATACAGTACATAAAAAAAAAGCAAACAAAAAAACCCATAAGAAATAAAAAAAAAAGCAGCTCAGTAAAACTATTAGCTCAGTAAAGGGAAAAAATATCACAATAAAAATTCCACCCTGCAGTCCTATCAGGATGTAAAACAACCAAAAAGGTACTGGAATTTAAGCCTTTTTATCTATTTATTTGTCTATTTTGTTCAATTACAATGAATATTTACATTATATATATATAAAACATGAGGACTTTGTCAGGAAGTCAGAGCACTCTAAAAACAAATTGTACTGAACTTTTTGACAGCAAGTGAACAGTTCTTTTATCAGAAATCAATAATTCTAAAACACAATCATGAAATAAGAACAACTGATAATCTTTGCTAAAGGGCCAGTTTGGAGAATTGCAGCACCGAAGAGACAGAATAAGCTTTGACTCCTGTTCCAAAAGTAGCATTTCATAAACTAGCAAAAAATGGCTTTCTTTTGATCTTAGTTTATTAGATCCAGATCAGAGAACAGAATGAACTATTTATCTTTAAAAAAGTAATATCTTTTTGATTATATGTCATAGCAGAAATCTTATCTTTGTCTTGGAAGTTTGAGACTAATGACGCCAACACTGGGAGTCGTGTGAACCCTGACAGCGGCTCAGCCAATTATGTGATGAACGATGGAGATGGAAAGTGCTTTACTCCTCTGCGACATTTCTAGAAACCATAATTCTGAAAATCTAAATGGAGTCATTGCTTTTCACCCCCGTGGGCAGAGCCATAATTCCTCACATATACATCCTAACTGGGTTTTTCTAATAGCTCCATTCGTTTCTCAATCTCTCTAATAAGATTGCCAGAGAGGACAGCTTGTCTCTGGCACATTTCTCTTCCAGAAAGGACAAAAATCAGCTGGGCTATTATTCAGCCTTTCAGCATCACATTTTGGTCATTAGAACTTGTCAAATTAAACAAACTAATATCGCAAACGAAAAAGAAAAATGGAAGGGACAGAAGAAGGCTCTGTGGTTCCTGTGGCTTCCACAGCACGCTTTGAGAAGTCAAAAGTGTTTGAAAAGTAGCTCCTCACTTCTGAAACACAGAGGGATATTTACTGAGCTGAGGCTGATATCTGGCATTCACTATGTGGTGTGAAATTTCTCACAACGATTTAGAACTTAAAATTAAAATTGTAACCAAATAGTAAAATCAAAATGTAAAAAAAATCATTTTGAATTAGAAAAAACAATTTTTGTACAATTTTTTAATGCAAAATGTAAGTTAAAAAACCTCTCAGTTAAAAAAAAAAAAAAGAAAAAGAAGCTTTTAATATCTTTTAATATTTTCAAAAAGACTACAGGGAAAAGAAAAGCAGTGTGGAAATCAAATTACTTTGCAATAAAGTTAAGGAAAAACTCTTCTCGATCACACCAATGATATATCATTACAATACATGAAACTGTAGCTCAGAGTAGCAAGAAATTGCTACAAAATTTTATTTTAAAAAACGCAGCAAGTGAGAAGCTTACCTTAATTTGTATAATGGGAAATATCTATGTCATGTCTCATGTGATGAGGGAAATTATAGGTTTACTCTTAACATACTTTAGGTTACACAGTAACCAGTGAATTGCAAAAAGGCTCCCCAGGAAAAGGGGGAGTTGGTTTAAGAAGTACAAATGAAGCCTGGCGATTTGTCAGGGATAAATTCCTTGGAATAGAAGAACATCGTTAAAACCTGGTCTAGCACTTCCAGAAGTTACCCTGTCAGCAACTACAGCAACTTGTTAAACTTTGTGAGCAACATGATAACAAGTTTTCTGATGAAAAGATGGAGGTTTGTGTTAAATGGTTTCATTTATACTGAAAAACAGAGACTATCTTGTCCTACACCTCACAGAACTCTAAGTTCAACCTGAGTGCTGGTGTAGGATTCACATTTCACTGAATTATTCTGCATTAACACATATGAACCATCCAAAAGCATTGGTTTAAAAAATGCATCTCTTCAGAGGACTAAAAAAAGCTATTAGAAATCTAAAGCCCTGCAAGTGCATTAATTCAACAGACCTTAAGTAGAGAGGATCCGCATGTAATTTTTCTGCTACTCAGTCAATATATACATTTCCATCTCTGAATTAAGATATTCCTAGTCATTTTATTTTATATTAATTCCAAGAAATGTGAAAGTTATTAAAGTAAAAGTAAAATACTATTTGCTGTAGTGGTTTCTTCTGTAAGTTCTCATTTCTCACCATGTCCAAAATGCTTCTGTTTCAGCCAACTCTTGAGGAAACAAAACACCATTATATGTATAATCTCCTACCTGCGCCTTTGCCTCAGAGTTCAAAGACTGAGAAGAAAAGAAATTTTCATTGTTCATTTGAAAAAGAGCAAACGGAAACAGAAACTGAAGAGAGGACATGGATTTTGATAGAGTTGACTTTCTTTGAAAGAGAGAAAATATGAGAGAGTGCAAATATTGTAGTGAGTGAAAATAGAGTCGACATCACAAAGAATGTTTGTTGTCTGATAGAAAATGTGCCTTTGAAAACTTAGCAAACAATATCAAAAGCTTAGGTTTTGTCTACAGATATGACTGGTAAAATCCAAACCATCCAGTTCTTTTAATACAATAAACTCCATTTAATTGGACTCAGATGCAGTTGACTGCAGTTCATTTGTGTGAACTTTCTGGCAAGTTTTAAAATGAGACAAAATCCCATTTACCTACACCCAATAGTATCCACAGTCTGACTGAACAATAGCATCTGTGGCTGAGAGTATGGATATAAAATGGCTGAATGCCAAATACTGCCTTGATTTCAATGGAATGTTTTCTCTTAATGTGGTTTTCTTATTTAGACAAATACTGATTGCAAAAATTCCAGAACACCGGCCAATTACCTATTGAGGAAGAAATATGTATTCCTCAAAAATGGCTAAAAAAAAAAAAAAAAATTACCCAGAAATTCCAGAATAAATCTTTGTGATTGTATCTTTTTCTTTCACGTGCTGTTTGCACAATTCTGTACGTGACACGTGTATTTTTGGACAGATGGACAAGAGGCAGGAGGGGGCCCAGCCAGGACAGCTGACCCAGGAGGGCCAGAGGGGAAGTCCCTGCCACGGACTGTCATGCTCAGCCGTCACACCGGGGTGGTTGGGGGTCTTTCCAAAGTCAACACAGCTCAGATATTGGCTGGACATCAACCTGCTTGTGGGAGGTGGAATTTACCTGTGTTTTCATTTTGCTTTTTAATTCCCCTTTCCTTATTAAACTGTCTTTGCCCTGACACGTGAGTTTTTTTGCTCTTCTCTTCTTCCGTCACCCAGCTGGGAACAGGGGGTGAGGGAATGGTTGTGTCATCCTTGGCTGCTGACAGGGAACAACCAAACCCCTTTGAGTTCAGAACTCATGCTGAGTAGCACATGCCACTGTTTATGTTCTTTGGTTGGAAACCCCTCAAAACTGGCCCGTCCAGACCAACTCTCTTGGCCATCCTTGTCCTGTTTCGAGATTCAATGCTCATGTTACAAAATTCAGCCTAGTAAGGCTGAACCCAGGATTAAGTGGTGAAAGTCATTATATACAGAATCATTAGAGCCAGATCAAATTTTTTCTTTTATGTTCAGATGCATATTTTTATGGCAAAAAGCACTGATTAAATCTGGAGCTCTGAAATAACACCTTTTTCTTTGTTTCACTATAAGCATTTCAGTGCATTTGTGTAGCTACTTCACAACTTGACAGCTACCTTCACGATATTTTTAATTAAAAGACATTAAACACTTCAAAGAACAGCTAGCCACAGTGCCACTTGGCAGCTTCCTTTGTTCTGCTCAAGTAATGCCAGAAACAGAACACCACTGACAACACCTTTCTGGGATTCAAACGAGTGGTTTTCTGAAAGCTTCCACCATCTACAGCCTTTTCCTCAAATGATTAAATTTAAGCTTTTGGTAATTTTTGGCTCTTCTATTTTCTCATGTTGTCACCAAAAGGGACCCTGTTCAGAAAGAACTGTTGGGACAACAAACACAACTGCATCAGCACAGGCTTTGCACATTGTAACTTTCTTTTCAGTTTTAGTATTCAAAGGAAAAGGTTTATTCTCTCACACTGAAAACATCTCTTCGCATAAACCAGGTTCTGTCTCAAAATAAAAATAACATTCGATACATTTATCTTAAAACTATCTTAATTTTTGAAACTTTTTTGCAATGTACCACGGTCATCCTGAGTTTACATAGAGCAAATTCCATAAATCATATAGACTCAAAGCCCCAAATGCCCAGATATTTGATCCCCTCTTCTCATTCAGCTAACAGGATAAAAAGGCATTTATAGAATATTCACCATGACCATGGGAATAATGATAACACCCCAATACCCTTTGCCCAAAGGTGAAGCAGACAGTTAGTATAAGCCCAGGTGAACTGCTTTGATCTGTGCCCTTGGAGTTTTGTGCCACATTTGGCAAGAAAGGCATAGCCTGTATTTCACACACTGCACCACTCTTTTTATGTATGTGATGTATATTTTCACCAGTAATAGTTAATTGGAGTACAGGAATCAATTACTGCCTTCTCATTCTAGCTGCAAAAATCTCATAATTCGTAAACTACATTGTTTTGCCCCATGTACACTAAAACCAGGTTAAGCGAGATTAGTACTGAAAACAGGTTAAAAATAGCTTTATTCAACAGAGAGAGATGAATTTAAATGTTATATATTCTGAAGGAGGAGCAGAGGGAGAGGGGACTAAGAGGTCTCACAAGGGGGATTAGACTTTGCTACTTAATAAAATATTAAGTGACAATCAATCAAACTGGAATGTGTGGGAAGCACAGTTTTGCAGAACTGCTCTTTTAGGATTTGTTTTCTTTCAAATTTGCATTCCTTTCTGCATGCTTTGGAGATATACGTATGTTGGCTGTTTAATGATTAGAAATGGCTTTGATCTTGACTACTTGAAGGAACATAAAGATATAAATAGTATGAGTGGATATGATTAATCCTAGTAATGACAAACATAACAAAAACCCAAGATAAGCTTTTCTGAATTTTTCAACCATACCTTAGGAAGTTCAGTCTTAATCTCCTGCCATTCCTACGGGAATCATCTACAGGAAAGGTCAGAAACACCCCAGTGTTCAAGGTCCCCAAACACCTCTAGTGCCAGTTTATCAAAGATAAGAAGCTGGGAAATCAGAAATATCAGCTTTCTGCTTGAGTAACTGCCACTTTGCTTTGAGATGGACTAGAGAGCAAGAAAACATCCTTCCTGCTACAGCATCACTGCCAAAATAATGAAATAATATGCAGTAACCAGGTATGACACTGAAAATAGCCCACTGATATAAGAAAATGTCACCAGTAGATAATAAGTGCCTGAAGGCCAGGGTTTGATAGCTATTTATTAGGTATGAAGCTAGAACTCTTATCAGCTTAAAAAATAGAACTCTCTACAGCTTAAAAAAATGGTCCCAAGTTGTCATTAAGATGACATAATTTTCTGCATCAGTGTGAGAGGGCAGTAAAGTGAGATGAGAGGAAGAGCTTTTACAATTAAAGGAGGAAATTTTTAAGGACAAAATAAAAAAAAAACCCAAGAAAGTTCTACAAGACATCATCTCTATTGTGTCTTCAGACCTCATCTCCTCAGTGTATTCTGGAACCCAGCAGTTCCAGAATACACCTGTCTTACAAAGTGATGACTTTCAAAGTCTGTAGTATCTTGAGACAGCACTGCTGAAACCTGAGCTCTTGTTTCCTCATGGGCATAAAATACATCAAATAGGTACATATATAATCTGAACTAAATCTTTAACCTACTTCTTCTCAACAGCAGCTTTAATAGAAGTTGATTACTTCTAGTGAAACTACAGAAAATTAAATGGAATATCAGAATTAAAAGGAAAAACAATGGACCAATTGCTCCACCAAATAAAGTAAAATTTTAGAGAATTCTGCTGCATTTTCCAGTCAATTGACTGGAAGACAAATTCTGCTTCCTTCCATTACCAGCCACCCAGTTCTTTTTCATGGATTCTTTGCATTCAGGGGCTATTCAACTAAAAGAAAATTAACTTACAGACTAAGAAGTACAGTACAGCAACAGAGAATTAACTAAACAGGGAAAATTTTTCAAAACTCATATTTGAATAAAAATGGCAAAGTCATGAATGAAAGACCATATAATGCCATAGTGAACATTTTTTTTTCAAAACTAGTTTAGTAGTTTCACAGCAAAACACATAAACACAAAGCAATTAATTACTTTAGTTTTATTTCTTTCTACTTGTTTCTTTCTGTGTATTCCCCCACCAATGGCTTGAATTCTTTACAGAAGCATAAAACCTACACCCCACTCCTCACAAGCTAATGAGTGTCTAGACTGAAACAATTTCATTTCTTAAAAAAAAAAGTTTTTTATTTGGACCAGCCCTATTCAAGCTATTTGTGAGAAAAGTACCATCAGTAATTGCATTTTGAAAGGAATATTACCCAAAATAACTGTACTAAGACTGTACCCAGTGAAGCCTGGATTTCAGTGATAATCTTTCAA